AGTGGAAAGGATCGTTTTGGGTGTTGCGGCAAGTTAAACTGCAAGTTTATGAGGTTTGGCATGACGTCTAGTAAGTTGATCCTTTAGAAATTGTGCATGTGCAACAATTGAAATGTTTTGTACAAAGTTAGATCTTGGCCCATTTACGAAGGAACCTTAATAATCTTCCATTATTCCAAAAGGAGGGGATAATATGAGGTCCAAGTGTATAACTATAATATTGTATATTAATATTAGTGTAATAGGGTTTTGGTAGTTGTCAAATTGGTTTCAATCTAGATTGCTCGCTTCAATATATAAACTAGATTTTTGGGCTAATTGATATAAACATTTTTTGCATTCTTTTTCTATACACATTGCATTATAGAAAAGTTTGGTTTGCTTAGTTTGTATTATAACAAATTATTTTCCTAGTTGAGCATATGGTATATGCACTCACAATATCTAATTTAAATATTATATTTATTTCCATTTAGTTATTGATTACTTGATATTAGTGTTAAATTAAAAAATTAATATTTTTTAGTTTTAGAAAATCTAGGAAATTCTCTTTTAATGTAATTTATAGAGTTATTAAGTAATTTATTGACTTTTTTGCATAAAACCCCTTTATTTCACTTATTTAATTTAATTATTTTGAATATATGAATATGAAAATAAAGCTATAGAAGCCTAATGCATAGGATTTATATTCAATGAACATGAAAATAGAAGCTAAGTTAAATTTAATAAATATAAAATAATTTTGGAATTTGATATAATCTAATAATTTATGATTCTACTTTATACATAAAGAATTTCAAGCTATTTTTGAATACATAATGTTTAATATACACAACTTTTGAGCTTTAAATTTCCATATAAAACTAGTAATATGAAATTTGTCATAATTAAATTCTAGAAGTAAAATCTGATCAAATTGTTAGCAAAAAAAATTAAATAATTACAACATTATTTTTAGTCATTTAGATAAATAATATTAATAGCTACATCATCCACAATGTTACGAATTTAATAAATCAATTATTAAGTATCATTTTGAGTGATGTTAGCCAAGTGGGACACTAGAAGTGTTCAACTTGATTAACATCACTTAGTTGAAGAAAATTTTTTTATATTATTAAGTTTTCTTAAAATTATAATAAATTATAATATTGTGTTTGTGAGTGCATTTACTTGCGGACATGGCATGCCACGTCACTGGTTGCGTGGTCCATTCGGCTAGTGCCACGTCACAATGTATGGGCTCGGTTTGGAAATTTCTCCCGCTTCCAGCGTCTACGCATTGGCGCCGCCGCCGGCCAATCGGATCGTCGCCGCTTGCGCTCCCGGATCGCGCGCCGCCTGCTGGCGCTTCAGCCTTTGTTCGATCTCTAGGTATTCTTCTTGCTAGAGATCTAGGGTTGTAAAGGATGTTCTTATCGCGATCTTGCCACGGTTTTTTAATGCTGCACGCATTCATTGTTTTCTCCACCTTGGATTCATTCCATTCTTGGAATTTTCGCTTTAATCAATGATCGCTTTCGTGTTATTTCTTCCACAGCTCTCACACCTCTCGATCGCGCTGGAAAATGAAGAGCTGCGCGATCGGAAGCGCAAGCACCAGCAAAGAAACGAATCAAGCTCGGGAGTGTCCAGACCATCTGCTGGTGCTTGTACACGGAATTCTTTCGAGGTACTAGCCACTTTCTTATGAATTCTACCGTGCTTGTTCTTATCACTTTTCTTTTTCTGTTCACCGCAGCCCAAGCGATTGGAAGTACTTCAAGCAAGAGTTGAAAGCTCGGCTTGGAAGCAAGTTCTATATTCATGGTAAAGTTTTAGTTTTCTTTTGTCCCTGAAGACCATCGTTTTCCAGCGAGCTCGGTAAATTCATACCTTCAAACTCTGACTGGAATCGATATGGCCGGGAAGCGATTGGCCGATGAGGTCTGATTGTTTATCACTCACACCATCTCTCGGACATTAACTTCACATTGACGACGCAGGTCTCGGAGGTTGTCCAAAAACATCCTCAACTCCAAAGAATATCGTTTGTAGCGCATTCACTTGGGGGACTTTTCGCTCGCTATGCAATTGGGATTCTTTACTTGCCGTCGCAGCCTTCGAAGAAGTTGATGAACCCGTCAATCACAGGACTTGATCCGGTTAGTTTCATCACGCTCGCCACACCACATTTGGGTGTACGAGGACGGCAACAGGTTCGTCGCCTTGAGCTTCGTTCTTTACTTTGTTTCTCAAACCTTGTGATTTTGCAGCTGCCATTTCTTATGGGTGTTCCTGTATTGGAGAAGATTGCCGCTCCAATCGCTCCTTTTATTGTAGGTAGGACAGGACGTCAGCTTTTCTTAACTGATGGCAAGGCCAGTGATCCGCCTTTGCTCCTGCGAATGGCAACGGACTGTGAACAAGGACAATTTATGTGAGATATTGTCTACGTGCTGGAGCACGTCTGTCTGTCCTAACTTTTCCTCTTTTGCTTCTCTCAGATCTGCATTGAGAGCCTTCAAGCTACGAGCTGTTTATGCCAATGTCAGCTACGACCGTATCCTTTCGTCGTTCGTGACGGTGATATGACAATCAAAGCCTTGACAATGACGCTATAGACATGGTTGGCTGGCGTACCTCCTCCATTCGAAGGGAGTCGGAGCTCTCGAAGGTGATGCTAATCGGGTCAGTGGTTTTGAGCTTAAGAACTAATCTATAGACAAGCGTCAGGGCTCAAGGGCGCATCTACGACTTTAACTTGATGTTTTTCTTTTTTATCAGCCTCCTCGCAAATCGCTCGAAGGATACAAACACGTGGTGAACGTCAGGTATTGTCCAGCAATTCAGAGTGACGGGCCTTCTTTCGAGGACAACACCGCCGGAGCGAAAGAAGCGGCACAGAAACAGCCGAGCAGCAAAGAAGCTAAGGAATACCACGACATACTTGAAGGTGATCCCGACTTCTCTGTCTTTTTTATCTACTGACTCTGTTTTGGTAATCGGAAAGAACAGAGGAGATGGTAAGAGGCTTGCAACAAGTCAGCTGGCAGAAGGTTGACGTGAGCTTCCATTCTGCGATATGGCCGTTTTTCGCGCACAACAACATCCATGTAAGCAGCCAAGTCTGTGCGTAGTTTATGCCTTATGATGTGATCTTGGACAGGTTAAGCAGGAATGGTTGCATTACGAGGGAGCGGGCGTTGTTTCTCATGTGGCAGACACGCTAAAACAGCAAGAACACGGTGCGTTCCTGGAGGCGAATCTCTGAATGAATTTGTGCGTTTCGAAAGCGGCTACTTGTGAATGCGAGTGGCGATTGAGGTGAGGAGGCTTTGAATCTAACTTGTGGTTCTAACTTGTGGCTTGTGTAAGAGTGCAACAGGTCATGGTTACCTGAGCTACAAATATACAGGCAAGAAAAAGGCTATTCCATTTCAGGCGGGTGTGAAATTTTCATGGAATAGCAAAATGCTGGAAGGTGGAAGCGCCCACCAATGTTCTTGCAATTGTGATATCTGATACATCTGATACCAAATCTTTCGTTTTCATGTGATCAAAGGTCGTTTAAACAAAGAACAGGAACATGTGAGAACCAGGAGGATTGAATCTTTGGTACGTTTTCCAAAAACTACAAACCTGCAGTGATCTGTTGCCTATAGTTTGTATGATCCGGTTCTGAACTTCACTATCTTATCCTAATATTCCATGCTGTTTGTCACTTTTGGATTGCTGGAGAAAACTTGTAAAGAGGCTTGCTGTTGAATGCCACATGCATGGAAATTCAAGATCTAGAGACAGAATATTTAGGCCCATACATGCGTGACACAGAAAGTGTCGCTTTTTTATTAGAATGGAGGAGGGAGTTCAATGCAATTTGCGGTGGTTGACTGTGTCTAGCTTTTCTCTGAGGCCTCTTTCTTTGGCAACAACTCGCTTTGGCCTTGTGCTCTCCATTTGCTTTCATCAGGTTTCTTGCAAACATGTTCGGAGGAGACAGCAAAAAGGCTGTAGATTTCTCAGGCCGCCTTTTCTGTCTTCAAATGTCTCTCTAGTCTGTTTCGAAGGTGTTCCTTGAGTTCAAAGTTCCTGAAAACCAGCGGTGGTTGCATGGTAAGTTTGTGAAAAGACAAAAGCTGCTGCTTTTTTTTTTTTAGCGTTTGGTGCACAAAGCTGTGAGGCATTTTGCGCGTATAGCCCGTGTCTTTGCCGACGCTTGCGGTTTACTTCTTCTTGATTCTTTCGAACTCTACGTAGCTCTACGTATGTAAACGACGAAAGCGAATCGTTTTTCTCATCTTATGCATTACAGCCGTGAAGTTGAAGCTGTCATTCGAAATTCCGAGAAATCGTGGCCACAATCGCGGCGGTGAGCTTTGCTTCCGTCTCCAGCGCGTCTTTGACAAGTCTCATGTCTCATGTAAGATTGGTGATAACACCGAAAAACTCAAGACTTTTCTCAAGTTAGAGTCTCTAGGTTCTAAGAAAAACAATCCAAAGGGAGCGCCAGTATTTTGCTGCTGCTTCAATGCTGGTGGTGGAGTGGAGGGCATTAAAGCGAAGATTGTTGTTTCTTTCTTCCTTTAGTCTTTTTTCTCCTTTTTTACTTGGCAGTCAAAGAAAACTGGCCTAAGAAACGGATCTGGTGCGTGCATTCCATGTGAAGACTTTGGATCGACGCGTCACAGACTTGAGGCACCGCTGCAAAAATTTCCCACTTCCAAAACGCTGCAAAGAATTGGATCCGGTTATGAATCTTCCAAAGAAAAAAAAATCATCGTTCCGTACTTAACACTCAAACGTACCAATGCCGTACAGTGCAAAGCTGTCGGTGCCGCGGTAACTTTCCACATTTTCTTTTCACTTTTCACCGCGGATGAAACGGCTGCTTAAATCAACGGGTAGAAACGTCCGAGACGCAACAACGTGGCAACGTCGCGCGCCACAGGGCCAGTGAGAAAAGCGCACCTGGCATGCACTGCCAGCAAAGACTAGTGCCACGTTGGACGCTGGTTTTTTAGGGTGTTTAAGAAGCGAGAGGTGAGAGAGAGGAGACACGGCAAGAAGAAGAGAAAAAATTTCTCTTTCTTCCTTTCGTTAAGATCCTGGCAAGGAATCTGTAAGAAGAGGAAGCTCAGCTCGCAATCAATCGATTCCACCGACTGCATTTGTTTGGAATCTCGTGTTAGAATGCTGGCGCTCAACCGCGCATTCATGGATTTGGCAGCGAAGAGCTCCTCCGCGAGGAGAAAGCTCTTCTCTTTTTAGGGATCGATCGGTGGAAGGGCGAGGCCGCGATGGATCCGGGTAGAACAAGGAGAAGAGGAAGCTACATTGTTGTGTGGGTGTAGGATTGGAAGGATCGCGCGCATTGGAAGCACATTGAAAGGAGAGGAAGAATCCAGGCGGAAGGATGAGATCTATATCGCGCTCCTTCTCTTCTCCGCCGATTCTCTCGCCCACCAAGATCCGGCGCCTCCAGCGAACGTTCCACAACGTCAAGCTCATGGTCATGTGTGGCATGATCACGATCCTGGTGCTGCGAGGGACGATCGGCGCGGGCAAATTCGGGACGCCCGCCCAGGATTTGCGAGAGATCCGCGAGCATCTGCCGCGGCGCCACAAGGAGGCCGCGAGCAGAGTCCTGGCAGAGGCGCACGAATCGCGAAAGAAAGCCCCAGGCGATCGCGAGGAGAGGGAGGAGGAGGAGGAGAGAAGCGCAGGATCATCGCCCTACTCTCTGGGTCCCAAGATCTCCGACTGGAACGAGCAGCGATCCCAGTGGCTCCTCAAGAACAGGGCTGGCGGCGCCGCCGCCACTAGCAAGATCCTCCTCGTCACTGGCTCCCAGCCCAATCCCTGCGACAACCCAGTGGGCGATCACTACCTCCTCAAATCTCTCAAGAACAAGATCGACTACTGCCGGATCCACGGCATCGAGATCTTCTACAACATGGCGCACCTCGATTCCGAGATGGCGGGCTACTGGGCCAAGCTCCCACTTCTCCGGAATCTCCTCCTCTCCCACCCGGACGTGGAGTGGCTATGGTGGATGGACAGCGACGCCATGTTCACGGACATGAGCTTCGCGATCCCGCTGGACAAGTACGCGAATCACAACATGATCCTCCACGGATGGGACGAGCTCGTCTACGCGAAGAAGAACTGGATCGGGCTCAACACCGGGAGCTTCCTCCTCCGCAATTGCCAGTGGTCGCTGGATCTTCTCGATGCGTGGGCGCCGATGGGACCAAAGGGAAAGATCCGCGAGGACGCCGGCAAGATCCTCACGCGCGAGCTCGTGGGGCGCCCGGAATTCGAAGCTGACGATCAGTCCGCGCTCGTCTACCTCCTAGCGACGCAGCGATCCAAGTGGGGCGATGGCGTGTTCTTGGAGAGCTCGTACTACCTCCATGGCTACTGGGCGATCCTGGTGGACAAGTACGAGGAGATGATCGCGAAGAATCATCCGGGGCTTGGGGACGATCGCTGGCCGCTGGTGACGCACTTCGTGGGGTGCAAGCCGTGCGGGAGCTATGGCGATTACCCGGTGGAGCAGTGCTTGCGGGAGATGGAGAGGGCGTTTAACTTCGGGGATAATCAGATCTTGGGTGGCTATGGATTCCAGCACCGGCGGCTGGAGAGCGCGAGGGTGAAGAGGACGAGGAATGACACCGCCAGGCCCCTGGATGATCTACCATCGATATCGCGAGTTTCTTCCTCCTAGCTATGAGGTTTTTTTTGTTTTTTCGAGTTCTTCCCAAAAGGTTGGAGCAACCCATTTGTCTTGTCGTGATGGAAGTTGATAGATTGTTTTGATGCTCGCTCGATCTATCGTATCGGATGATCATTGCCTTTACATAGTTTTTCTTATCTAGACATTGTAAGATAAAGGCCTGGTTTTGATGAAAAGTTTTTAAAGCGCTGATTTTAGGGTTCTTGAGCTATGGAGCGATGGCGCTAGTGGCGATCCTGGACTTCTTCCGGGTATGGCGCATTGCGCGATTTTCTCTTTCGCGAGCTTGGAAATGTCAATGCAGGGACGTTTGTGGGAGGTTTTGGACACGCAATGGCTCCTGGCACTGAGGAATTTGTCAATGAAGGATCTTCTTCTCCTTCCATCGCATATGAGAGTCCCTTCGATCCTTTGTTTCTCGTGCATTGACGGTTGGGATGGAAGGCCTTAGGATTGCTGGCCCAAGACGCTCCAGGATTTGCTCGCTCTCTTTTTCTCGAGAGGTGAAGGAGAGCTCAAAGGTAATTCTTTTCGCAAAACCTTGTCATTGACAATGTTTCTTAGCTTCTCTCAGGTGGATCGCTTCCAAGTGTTATAACGCAGGGCGTGAACGCCAGGAAACCATGAGGTATGCATCTCCTTCGATCCATCGATCGTTTTTGAGAAGACTCGCGTTAGATTCTTTCCAGATTGAAGGACTTTCTTCGTTGGTAGTAAATGATACTAGCCATTCTTGTCAACCGTTTCAAAGCATCGTGCCACACAAAACCGCAACCTTTCTCGGCGACGAGGACGTGTAGCTGGACGCATTCTTGTCGTCCATTAGAATTCGCGAGCAACGTAGCCATGGACAGCACTCGAACTGCATGCCTGTGGAGATCTCTCGGCGAACATGTTGAGGTGAGGAGCGTAAGTTCTTGAAACACTGGGGCAGGACCTCTGTAAATCGCCAGGACGTCACGGCGGTGATCTCTGTTTGGTGTTGCTACAATTTGTTATCCGAGAACGACGACGGTGCGAGCAAGTGTGGCTTCCCTTTGAGCAGAGGCATGAAGAGATTGAACTTGCGTCTCGGTGGAGCTGGACGTGATCTTGTGATACAATCTCAATGCCGTTATTTTGTTCCTTCGTTGGAAGTGGAATTTTTTAAAAATGCTTGGCCTTTTTTTATTCTTTTTCAGCTCCGAAGTCAAGAAGAAAACCTATTGCTCTTCCTATCTATATGATTGTGTGACTTCTCGTGGACTCGATGGTGTATCTGGGGAAGATTAAGGAGCTTCTACTTCCTGAAGTTTTATATTAGCAAAAATACCGCTCGGGATTTAGTGTTCCAAACCCAGTTTGAATATCTAAGTTTTATCGAGAGATTCTATACATCAATATAAACATTTTGGTTTAAAGAACCTTTTATTCATCTTTTGATTTGTTTTTGTCGAATCCTTAAAAATACTATAGGGATAAGAACCTACTTACTTGCTATTTATTAATCACAAGAAAGAAGTCGAAATCAAGCATACTGAATGGAAGCCCCCTTCAATGTGAAGGTACCCTGTCCCCTCGGCACCAGCGTCACAACGAGCTTGTCCGCTGACTTTAGGCCCAGGATCTCGACATTAGCCTTGATAGAGAAGGTGGTGTTCACGGTCTCGGTGTGCTCACCGATCCCGAGCATGAAGTGGGGGACGTTGGAATAAGTGCCCACGTACTCGGCACAGCTGACGCGCGTGTTCTTGTTGGCCTCGGGCAGGTTGATGAACGCGTTGAAGCTGATGGGGGATTGCATGTTAATCTCCATGCCCTCCAGCACCAGGATCTCGTCACAAGCGCTGCCTTTGGGCTGATCCACCGTGATCGTCACCGGCTCCACCCCAACTTCCAAGGCCTTGGGGTTCTCAGCTGATGCTTTCACCAGCCGATACTCATACGACGATCCACTCCAGGGCGTCTGTTTCAGTGGCTTGGGCTCGTAGGCGGTCCAGCTCTTGTCGTCAGGCATCGCCTGGTACTTGTACTTGAGCATCTTCTCGCTGTTGAGGGAATCTTTCACCTTGACGCGAACGAGATCTTGGTTCTCGTCAAAGAAGAGGAACTCGGTGTTGAGGTAGTCCGAGTCTGTGAAGTCCTTGTTTCCCAGAGACCTCCACACGTCCCACATCCGATCGACGTTACCGTGGTGGCTGTAGAAGAGAGGGTCTCTACCGGCCGAGTAGAAGTTGCCCATGTCCTCGAAATTCGGCTGGTAGGGGCTGCCGCCAAATATGTGCACAGCATTATGTGGCGCCCTCTCCACGCCCCCTGGGCCATTCTTGCTGCCGCTGCCTTTCCTGCAAGTATATATGGCTGCAAGTATATATGGAAGCGCATGGGAATGGACGTACCTGATGGGGTGGCCAAAGAACGCGTCCGGCTGCTTCACCTTTGCGACGTTGTTGTACATGATTGAGAGGTTGTCCTCGCGGATCTGCTCGTCGCTCTTGTCATCAGAGCCGGGCGAGTAGATGAGGTCCACCCGTGTGGGCTCATAGTGACTCGTGTTGCGCTTTGCGTCGCAGAGGGCGGTCTCGCGGCGAAACATGTCTGGGATGTACCTCCCGCCTTCCTGGTCCCAGCTCCAGAATGGGAGAGCAAAACTAGGATCCCCGATCAGGCTCCCCAAGATCTTCTCGTGGAAGTAGAGATACCAGCGATGCCACGGCAGGAAGAGCCAGTTGAAGTGGATCTGGAGCGTCTGCTTTGGGGCGCCCTCCTGGCGGTAGCCATAGCTGCAGTAGGCGCAGTGGACGTTGGCCTGCTGACGTAAGCTGCGCGGGTCGTCCGGGGCGAGGGCGCGCATCTTGGCGTAGGCCTCGTTGTACTTGGCGATGTAGTCCTTGTCGACGAGGTGGGCGGCGGGGCGGACGCGCATCTGGCCTGAGTCGGGCTTGAAATCGATGGTGGCGCGCTTGGGCTTTGGGGGGCAGCACACCCGGATGATGTCGTCGCCGACGCTGGGGAAGTGGCAGTGCTTGAACGAGGGCAGTCCTATCGGATCCGCCAGCGCGTGGCTGTCCACTGATGAGGCGAGAGACGCACCACCGGCAATGGCCCCGGCCAGGAGCTCGCGGCGATCGATCGAGGGCGTCACAGGGGAGGAGTTAGAGTTACACGCATTGGCTTCTTTCCTGGCGTTGGCGGCGATCTTGAGCGGACGCGTGCGGGACGGGCGCTGGAGCTCGAGGCGATCGATCGACAGTGCCACCATCCCAGACATGCTCGGTAGCGAATACATTGTCAAAGGAGGCAGCTATACAACACATAGCAGTTGATACTGGCGTTTATAGGGGCGCTATTGCATGGCTCTCGTGTCTAATGTGAACACTTCCGGATTTTTATGCTGATTGAATTTAATAAACCAATTATTAAGTATCATTGTTAGTCAAGTGGGACACTACAAGTGTCCAACTTGATTAACATCACTTAGTCACTTAAAATGATATTTGATAATGGCTGCTGGCACTGAGGAATTTGTCAATGGAGGATTTCTTCTATCACATATGAGGGTCCCTTCGATCCTTTGTTTCTTGTGCATTGACGGTTGGGATGGAAGGCTTTAGGATTGCTGGCCCAAGACGCTCCAGAATTTGGAGATGCACGTTTTTCTCGAGAGCTGGAGGAGACCTCAAAGTCCAATATCTAAGTTTTATCGAGAGAATCTATAAATCAATATAAACATTTTGGTTCAAAGAACCTTTTGTTCATCTTTTGATTTGTTTTTGTGGAACCGTTAAAAATACTATAGGAACTTTCAGAAGAACCTACGCAGCAACTTGCTATTTATTAATCACAAGAAAGAAGTCGAAATCAAGCATACTGAATGGAAGCCCCCCTGAATGTCAAGCTACCGTCTCCCCTCGGCACCAGCGTCACAACGAGCTTGTCCGCTGACTTTAGGCCCAAGATCTCGACATTAGCCTTGATAGAGAAGGTGGCGTTCACGATCTCGGTGTGCCCCTTACCGATGTCGGACATGAAGTGGGGAACGTTGGAATAAGTGCCCACGTACTCGGCACAGCTGACGCGCGTGTTCTTGTTGGCCTCGGGCAGGTTGATGAACGCGTTGAAGCTGATGGCGGATCGCATGTCAATCTCCATGTCCTCCAGCACCAGGATCTCGTCACAAGCGCTGCCTTTGGGCTGATCCACCGTGATCGTCACCGGCTCCGCTTCAACTTTCAAGGCCTCAGGGTTCTCAGCTGATGCTTTCACCAGCCGATACTCATACGACGATCCACTCCAGGGCGTCTGTTTCAGTGGCTTGGGCTCGTAGGCGGTCCAGCTCTTGTCGTCAGGCATCGCCTGGTACTTGTACTTGAGCATCTTCTCGTTGTTGAGGGAATCTTTCACCTTGACGCGAACGAGATCTTGGTTCTCGTCAAAGAAGAGGAACTTGGTGTTGAGGTAGTCCGGGTCTGTGAAGTCCTTGTTTCCCAGAGACCTCCACACGTCCCACATCCGATCGACGTTACCGTGGTGGCAGTAGAAGAGAGGGTCTCTACCGGCCGAGTAGAAGTTGCCCATGTCCTCGTTATTGTGCTCGTCGGGGCTGCCGCAAAATATGTGCACAGCATTATGTGGCGCCCTCTCCACGCCCCCTGGGCCATTTATGCTGCTGCTGCCTTTCCTGCAAAGTATATATGGCTGCTAAAATGGAGCGCATGCATGGGAATGCACGTACCTGAGGGGGTAGCCAAAGAACGCGTCCGGCTGCTTCACCTTTGCGACGTTGTTGTACATGACTGAGAGTTTGTCCTCGCGGATCTGCTCGTCGCTCTTCTTATCAGAGCCGAGCGAGTAGATGAGATCCACCCGTGTGGGCTCATAGTGACTCGTGTTGCGCTTTGCGTCGTAGAGGGCGGTCTCGCGGCGAAACATGTCTGGGATGTACCTCCCGCCCTCCTGGTCCCAGCTCCAGAATGGGAGCGCAAAACCAGGATCCCCGAAGTAGAGATACCAGCGGTGCCACGGCAGGAAGAGCCAGTTGAAGTGGATCTGGAGCGTCTGCTTTGGGGCGCCCTCCTGGCGGTAGCCATAGTTGCAGTAGGCGCAGTGGACTTTGGCCTGATGACGTAAGCTGCGCGGGTCGCCCCGGCTGAGGGCGCGCATCTTGGCGTAGGCCTCGTTGTACTTGGCGATGTAGTCCTTGTCGACGAGGTGGGCAGCGGGGCGGACGCGCATCGGGCCTGAGTCGGGCTTGAAGTCGATGGTGGCGCGCTTGGGCTGTGGGGGGCAGCACCGCCGGTTGATGTCGTCGCTGATGGTGGCGCGGTGGCAGTGCTTGAACGAGGGCAGTCCGATCGGATCCGCCAGCGCGTGGCTGTCCACTGATGAGGCGAGAGACGCACCACCGGCAATGGCCCCGGCCAGGAGCTCGCGGCGATCGATCGAGGGCGTCACAGGGGAGGAGTTAGAGTTACATGCATTGGCTTCTTTCCTGGCGTTGGCGGCGATCTTGAGCAGACGCGTGCGGGACGGGCGCTGGAGCTCGAGGCGATCGATAGACAGTGCCACCATCCCAGACATGCTCGGTAGCGAATACATTGTCAAAGGGGGCAGCTATACAACACACAGCAGTTGATACTTGCTTTTAAAGGGGCGCTCTTGCATGGCTCTCGTGTCTAATGTGGACGTTGCAACTCATACCCAAGCTTGGATGACTTTGCTGGCTCCGCAGCATTACTATGGACCTGATCGATTCATTCATCCGGTTTAGGAAAGTTGCATGGAACCTTCTTGCTTCAATGGCGTGCACGTCTTCGGCCCGCCACCTTCTTCCGGTGTCCATCTTATGTGATCTGGTTCTCAGTTGTCAGTCACACGTACGGCATTGGAAGCATGAAACGCCAACGTTTATGAGAAATATGAGAATTCGAATTGCTGCAAAAGAACATGTAAAGTTTGATCTTTTAGGCATTGCTTCAAGAGACAAAACAAACAATCCCCCTTGCTTATACTAAAACAATATGAAATTTTTTAAAGCCTGATTTTAGGGTTTTTGAGCTTATGGAGTGGGAGGAAGAGAGGATAGTGCATTTCTGCGTCGCCACGAGCGCCTGTGGAGAGCGCACGTCGTGGAATTCTTCCAGGTATGGCGCATTGCGCGACTTTCCCATTTGCGAGCTTAGAAATTTATGCCAATGCAGGGGCGTTTGTGGGAGATTCTGGACACGCAATGGCTCCTGGCGCTGAGGAGTGCGTCGATGGAGGATCTTCTTCTCCTTCCATCGCATATTTCCAAGGTGAGAGAGAGAGACTCTCGATTCTTTGTTTCTCGCGCATTAATGGATGGCAAGGAATTGTGGCTTTAGGATTGCTGGCCCAAGACGCTCCAGGATTTTCTTGCAGACGTGCGCTCGCTCTCTCTTTCTCGAGAGCTGATGGAGACCTCAAAGGTATTTCCCTTCACAAAACCTTGTCATTCACAACGTTTCTTAGCTTCTCTCAGGCGGATCGCTTCCAAGTGTTATAACGCAGGGCGTGAACGCCAAAAAACTCCACGAGGTATGTCACTCCTCTCCATCGATCGTCTTTGAGAAGACTCGCGTTTAGATTCTTTCCAGATTGAAAGACTTTCTTCGTTGATAGTAAACATCTCTCGCGTTGTCAACGCTACAGAAATCGTGGACGTCGGTGCTGACCAGGTAAACATCCATCATTCTCCGGTGTATCATTCACGGGCATTTTGTTTCTTCCTAGGGGTATCTTGCGCAAGTCTTGGCGTTCCACCACAAACTTCCAGTAGTCGCAGTAGATTGCTCGGTGCACAAACACAACCGTGACAAACAAACGCGCTGACTGGATCCAAAGATACTACGCTTCTCGCTCCGGTAAGCTTGAGTTGGTGCCATTCTTGTCAACCGGTTTTTCTTATCTAGACATGAGTACTTGCCCAGCAAATGCTGGGTGGTTTACAAAGAGGTTCAATATAAAACCTTTTTATAGATAGTGTTAATTGTAAAAACAGAAGGATTTTGAGGAAGGAGGTGGCTTTGGCATGTGGTGTTTTGAATTTTAATTCCAAGTCCATGTGGTGATGTGCATTTTGATAAAGCCACATAAAGTTGCCCATGAGTGAAAACTGAGTGGGGCAAGTAAACTTTAACTCGGTCAAATGTCTGTCCTTGGCATTTGGAAATTGTTAAGCAGTAACCCAAGCAAATTAGAAATTGTTGTTTGGACATTTTGTATTTGATAGTATTAGTGTGATATGTGGGATAAAAACTCGTGTCCCTTTAAATTGCCCCATCACAATTTCACAACCTAAAACATTTGGTAGTGCATTTTTCAGGATGAGATGTGTGCCGTTGCATAGTCCTATTGATGGAAACATATTTCTTAGATAAAAATAACACCTTGTTTGAGAGAGAGTTTATGTGGTGGGAGACTAGAAGGTGTGATAGAATTTAAAAATTCTGTCGGAAAATTTTCAGGATGTTCAATGTCAACAAAATCAATGCTTTTGTAGATGTATGTATCACCTTGTAATCTAGAGACAATAGTGTTGTTGATTGCAAATGTATCATCATTAAGTGGGGTAAGTATGACTCAATTGGCTGCAATATAACGGTTTGAAATATGAAGTACTGAAGGGTAGACAAAATCAATAATTGATGAATAAATTAGTTGTGTATGAGGTAATAAAATGGAGTTAGAAGGTAAAGATGGTAAATTTTTAAAATTTTTATTATTTCCAACTTTGAGAAGCCATTCAGACCATGATTTATCACTTTTAGCAAGCCGTATATTTGTTTTCAAAGATAATTTTCTAAATAATCTCCATAATTTATTCATTCTTACAGAACTTAAAACAATTTATGCCCTATGTTCATATGGAATGATTGGAAGTGTTTGTTTAAAGTCCTCGTTAGTGACAACAATTATGCCACCAAAAGGTAATGATGTATTTTTTAGGTCTCGCAACACTCAATCAATAGTAGTGAATGCATGAGTGTGAACCATACTTATTTCATCCCATAACAATATGTTAGTAGTTTTGATTTTTATACTTACTTCACTATTAGCAGTTATAGCGAAAGTTAATGTTTCATTTATTGGAACAAAAAGTTTAAAAGTAATATGTGAAGTTCGGCCATTATAAAGTAAAGTACTTGCAATTCCTATCCAAACCATGCTAACAACATTTTTTTTTTCAGTTGTAAAATATTTATAAGAGTAAAACATGAAATGTTTTACCAGTACCACCAGGGCAAATGTATCGATTATGCTCAGTTGGGTGATCAATAACATTAAGAATATCATTAAAAATATTTAACTGTTCTTGATTAAATCGAGGAATATTTTGTTCAACATTTTGATATATTTGTGTTGAGTTGACAATATTTTCATCATCAAGATTTTGAGATGGCAAAGGTAGATGATAGTTTCGATTAGTTTTGCCATGCATTTCATTTTAATTATTATATCATGTAAAGCATGTTTATAATGAAAAATTGGATTTGTTTGCATGAAATCCTTAGAGAGGAAGTTTTTAAATTTATCCCATAAGAAGTAAAGATCTTTTGGAGTGCAAAAGATACAAAGTAATACAAATAATTGTCTTAATTGTTATAGCATTTTAAAAAAGCAAGCATCTTCTAAACATTTTTCCCATTTAGTATCATCAATTATAAACCCCATTGCATCTGCAACTTGTTGAAATGTGTCATAATAAATATTGTTAACTGTCTTGAGATCTTTAAAAGACATAGCACCTTTTTTATGGAGTAAAATAAAACATAAATGATATAATTCAACATTAGATGGCGACATAGAATACATTCGGGGAATGACATTTCTTGTATGTCGAATTTTCCAGTTATGAGTATGAGGGTTAAATGTATAATATAAAGGGATTTCAGGATATGTATATTGTCTAGCATTTGGGTCATTTATATTTAATTCAAACCATTTTGTTAACATCGTACTATTTTGAGTAGCTCTTTGAAGTGCTATTTGTTCAGAATCTTCTATAAAATAGATGTTTTGAAAATTTGGAAGATGGATAGGAAGAAGGATTATAGGGGTCAAACGACCATGCATTTTAAATTTAAAAAGTCTCCATATTGCCTCTAGAGTAGATACATAACGTGTATTTAAAAATGTTGAGATTTCATCAATTTAAAATATTATCAGGTTGTTGCGTTGTTGAATGGATTTCAATTGTAGCATAATTATAATCTTTATAAACATATTGAAATAAATATTTAATACTTTTTATAGTAGCACAAGTTTCAATATTAATATGAGCATTATATTTTTTACAAAGGTATTTATTATAAGGCACTACCCAATGATTATCAATATAACACCCATTTTTTAGAAATGTACGGCCATTATTAGGTCTATAATAATCTGAATATCCATCAACACTAAAAGTAGTTTCATAATTAAATTTTTTTGGATAACCTTTTGAGCAAGTGCCATTTTCCATGCAAAGACTATTAGGGTAAAGACGCTCACATGGACTATATATCATATGAGATGTAATTATTTTAGAAATTTCAAGTTCATTTTGAGGATCAAACAATTGTGCCGTTATGTATTGGTTAATAGCATAACGGTCTTTAATCTTGTTTTCATGAGATAAAATGTGGAAGGCCTCTTTTTTGAAATTCAATTACATATATAAAAGCAATACAATTTCCAAAAATATGTTTTTTAGTAATATCATTCAAAAATTCTTTAAGTTTGATATAAAATACTCTAGAAACCAAGTCTGGACGATCCTTAGGGCTTTCATTTGGATGTAAGTTCTTAGAAATTTCTGGCCATTTGGGATTACATGTAAAAGTAATGAAAAGATCTGGCTTTGAAAAATGAGTAACTATAGCCATTGCATCTTGATAATTTTATTGCATTGCTCTAGGGCCACCCCCAAAACTTGAAGGTAAAATAACAATTTTGCTTGGATTTATATTTTCATTAGTAACACGGTTTGCAACATAATCCATAAAACTAGTATACATTTCAACTCGCAATTGTTTCTGATGAGTGCGATAGTAATTCAAATTATTGCTTTCAACTTTTATATAAGCATCGACAATATATTGTTATGTGAGTTTTCCTACATGTAAAATTTGATCAAAACCAAAGTGTATTGTGTCTCTTATAGATAAGCGGTATGCATAATATTGGAGTAATGTAATTCGACGTCTGGAATTAAAAATATTTTTGTGCCAACTTCTGTCACCAAAAGGAAATATTAATGGGTAAACCATTGGATCACAATTATAATCAAGTGTTGAGATACATTTAGAATTGCTTACAGTTGGATATATACAAATTTCATGACTATGTGTCGCGCATGTGACTTTGGGTATCGAAAATTACCTGTCGACCAGTCCTTACGGACACTCTTACCTTACTGCCACGATGGCAGGAGGTCGGTATTGCTGGTTCCTTTTATCAGCCCCTCTTGTTCAAGTGTTAGTTTACTGGGCTTAGCACCTGTACTTAACTAGATGGACATAAGGTAGGAACTCCTATGTGTTTCTAGCTGAGCATACTCGGCCTGGGTCTTAGTTCTCTTTTGCTCTGTCTTGCACTGGCTTGACAAGAACCCTCGTGTATTGAGATTGGTCCCTCAATATTGCCGGATGATAGCTTACCGTGTCTGCCAAACACCCTCACTATCATGCCCTTTGTGTTAGTCTCAATTCGGTCCCAAATGCTATTTATGGAAAGTGTCCAGATTTACTTATTTGGCATATCTACGGAATGTAGAGATTGTCTTGAACACAATTGTGTTCGTCCCGTGTCCAAATTTGCAATCTAAGGACATTCCATATTTAGTAAGTTTCAAATTTGTCCCAAAGACTAACTCCTGATACTAAGGGAGGCTTGGGGTGAAAGCCCAAAGCGTGTGTTCCTCAAGGGGGGGGGGCTGTAGGGGGTTCCAAATGTCCAAATGTATAGTAGGGATAGTGGGTAGGTCGGGCATGGCCGACCAACTTGAGGCATAGTCTAGCTCCCGCTTGCGTGCTTGTCCTTGTTCTGCGTCCGGCTTGGGTCTAAGCCCAAGTTCCATTCCATGCTAGTTGGTGGAATACCCATATCCTCACGTTAGGCCACCGGTATGCCGAAATAGCGCCAGACTCCATTTGGCTCCGTTTTGCGTGCTGGTCCTGGCATTGGGATGCTGGTTGCTCCAGGACTGTTCCAAGTCGCTCTGGGCTCCTGTCCCTTCACTCCTTGGGCTTTATGCTCGGGAGTTGCTCCGTGGTTCGGTTCCGACACTCCTTGGCTCCATGCTTGGGAGTTTGGCACCGTTCTATCGTTCAGTGGCCCAAGGCCCTGAACCTCGGGTTCCTATGGACACGTGGCATGGACACGTGGTATGTGACATGTGGCATCTGTCACATGGCACAAAGAGGGTTTAGGTTCCGCAAGGTAAATCACCATAGGATAAAGGGTCAAAACCACGTGCACTACATTTGGCATTAGAGGATGAGTCTCAACGAGTACTATTCAATGAGATTGGGCAACTAGTCTCGTTGCATACACAGAGATGAAAACGATGATCCGAGTGGGTACACGTTTGGTGTAAGGGGTTCACATTCGTTCCTTGGGTATGGTTTTGGTTACCTTTTATACCTAATAATGTGAGCTTGCTCTTGGGCTCATAGGATGGATTTGAGATGCTCCGTTAGCACGAGTTTATGCTTGGGCTCGTGAGTGAGGCACATTAGCAACTCAAGGTTATACTTTGAGTTGGCAGGATTAATGTTAGCCTATCGGTGGTTCCATGAGTTGTTCCAGTGGTTCTATGAGTTGTTCCATGTACCGTGGGTGAAAGCAAACCTCCTTGAGTTTGCTATGAATGGCAAATAGGCTAGTCCGTAGCTATTTAGCACGGCACTAATAGATCTTTCCTAGGCATGATTACAAGTGAATCAACCAAGATTGTAGGGAAGTCTATTGGTTCAAGTAATCATTGTCGTGCTCTC